ACTGTGCAAAATATCATCCCAACAGCTCTGCCATTGGTGCAGGCATTTAATACATCAATAGGTATTTAAAAAGTTGTTTTATCAATGTGCAAACTTGAAGTTGTTTTATAACAACGCTAAAAATAAACTTCTGATTAAAAAACATTTTTGAAGTGTTAGCTTAAAGCACCGCAAAGAACAAAGACCGTCTCTGCTTTTGTTCTGTTTCTTTACGTTACCCATTTGTGTGCGATGTCTCTGGCTTTGTAGAGCTCCGTTTTGTTCTCATCAGAGCGGAAAATAGCAAACATCAGTCTCACTTTGTAAAAGGACCATTCTGCCCAAGAGAAATGAAAACAGCATGAAGGTAATGTAAATGTTTTTTTGTTTTTTTAAATGACAACAAGTGAAACATTTACCCATAAAATTATCAATTCTTATGAATTGTTGTATTTAAAGCTTGATTTAATATTACAGTCAATCCTTTGCATTGTGATTACATGTGAAGCAGGCCTTGAAAACAAAAAAAAATGATTGCGATGGCAAATTAAAAATAAATGTGTCAAGCCAAAAGTTAGTGTGCAAAAAAAAACCAGTGAAAGCAGAACTTGATGGTGCAATAAGGATCAGGAGGGTCATGTTGATATAGAAACAACGACTTCTTCTTTTAGTGTAACAGCCAACTGCAGATGTCTTAATATTACTGTAAATTATATTTCCCAATACTCCGTTTAATCAGGCCTGAAATATTGATGACCTTTTTGTTGAATACTTCAAAGTGACATGTTCTGTCTTACTTTGCTCAGTTTGATGTGGGTGGATGTAATATTGTTTGAGTGATATGAATAGATAAGAGTCAAACCTGAGAATACAGGTGTGTGTTATTCAGATCATTTGCGCTCACCTAGTGAAGAAGTTAGAATGAAAACGGTTTGGTTTATTTCAAATTTTGACCGTTAACATGAGGAAAGAAAGGACTGCATTATCCTGCTTTATGAATGGTAAATAACCAGCTTTGACGGCTGTGTGGTTCATCTATCAGATCTTGATGTTATTGATCTCAGTATGGCTCCTGTATTTACTTTACAGACAACAAGACAGGGGTCAATATTTAGTTTGAGGGCTAAGGACACAAAGTACACATCAGACTGAGGCAGGAAAAAAGCTGTAAAACGCTTGATGAAACTGACAGACCACGTTAGGGTGAATTATTGACTTCTGTATGAACACTGTGGGAGGTAGAAAATATTCATCTATCAAAGCGTGTAGGTGCGTAGGTACAGTAAATATAGACTTTATCAAAATTGGAACATTTATATCAGTGATAAAATCTCAGTGAGTTGTAAGTCCAGTTAATGTGAACGGCTCACCACACTGCAGGCTGCGATCAGAGAGCGGAGCACAGGCCCAAGTGTCCCAGTTGTCTCGTTCCCACTTCACTAAGTCCCCCTCTGTACATATCGGTGATGTCACTTCCTGTTCTCGACCCCAAAGACGAAACTGAGACAAGCTTCCCAACAGATGAGTGATTGGAATAATATTGATATTCCCGTCTGCCAGGTAGTGTGACGCACCCAGAGTAAGAGTTCCATTGGGGGCCAGTTTGCTGCATGAGGGGTTAACAGAGGGAGCAGAGTCCGAACTGTGAGCTAGAAGAGAGGAGAAAAGAAAAGACAGCAGCAGAAGTCAACTGAGGGTCAGATAGTTTAGAATGAAGGTAAAATGATCTTAGCTGTGATGTCTGCTAAACTTTTCTTTTCTCAGTCTTTTCTCAATAATGTCCATATGCAACAGTAAATAAGAAAGACATGAGATAACCAATTCACATTCATACGTACTTCTTTCACGTCATTAAAGTAAGTCCCTATTTGTTGGCCAATAAGCTGACTAAAGTGAGATTTTAAAGTGACGCTTATCCTTGGCCTCCTGTTAGTTTACATGAAATGAAATGAGTTAAACACACTGAAACAGATTATTCATTTGGACAAATAGAGCACTGTAACGCTCTGTACTGGAGGATGTTCTTAGTTGGGGTACGAAAAATATTATCAGGAGAATACAACTGGGTCTGATCAAACAAACTTTTATCTTAATCAGATCTTGCATAAAAGATTTGATATTAAAGCGCCTCTTTCACAGATATGTCTTAATCTTACCTGAATAACAAAGCATCACTAAACCAAACACTAAAAAACACACATTGTAAAAGATGCCATCAGAAAAACATACATAGTGTAAAAAAAAAAAGTTAAAGTAATAAAATAAATGACAGATTTCAGGAACTTTTAACACTTCTTTCCATGTGACCTACCTGGTGACATTTCTATCGCTTTCCCCTCGATGTACAGTGCAGGTCTGTCTTTAGTGTGTGCCCAGGTCAGACACAGGGAGTGCCACCGTGACACCTGGAGTGCTATCTCATCCGTGATCCACTCTGCTCCACACAACCAGACCACTAACCTGCCCTGTTTACCCCCAAAGCCCAGCTCCGCGTACTGGACCTCAGGATGACGGTACATGAAGGCCGTCCATGTCGAGTTACTCAACGCCTAGTCAAAGTTGATGAAATGTTCACAATTAATAAAGCATTTTAACCATTCAGTTCATATACAGTAGCTTTCATAAGTGAGTGTAACTTACAGCTAATCCAAAAACAACATTTTTCATGATTACCTCAAACTTGAGGCTGAGGCAGACGGTGAACTCCTGCAGGGCCGGGATAGAGACCTGAGGTTTTAAACTCCAGTGGCTGCACCCAGAGGTGAATTTAACAACGTTCCCCCAGAGACTGAGTAAAGCTCCTGACAGCAACAAAAAAAAAAACACAATACTGAACTTTATTCATGTAGCACCTTGTTTTACAGTAAATCCTTAACGTGCAGCAGTAAGAGCAGCTGATTGGCATCAAGAAGAGACAGTGAAGGCTAATTAGTACATCTCTTAACCTGTCACTATACTGTATTTTCATAAAGAATTCACATTCAAATATCTTTCCTAACTTCAAAGTCATATGGATAAAGATGTAATCCAAAATTTAAGACGAATTATACCCATTTTTCTTGGATGTTGCTGAGCTCTGCAAATGTAAAGTATATTTTTTAAACCTCTTCCAGACTCCATGAGGAGCTAATCTAAGTTTAATACATTTCCTCAGGTGATGTCACTCGAGGCAGAATCAGGTAGCGCTAAGCACCACAGGCTAAAAAGAAAAATCCATGAATGTCAAGTTTTAAAAAGTCTGCTTGGAGCTACACTAGCATATACTAACACAATGATACTTGGGACCCAGCTCTGGTCATTAGTGTTGCTCTGTGGGAAATTTAGACAAAAGGTTTTAACCAACAACAAAAAAACACAAAGTTTAGGACTTATCTTTGTCATTTAATTTCTATTTTTAATATTTAACTCATATTTATTACTCTCATCAATGTTTTTTTTAGTTTGTAAGAACAATAAGGAGAAAAGCAGAAAACAGGTATTTGTGTGATAGATGAAAACTTTTGAGGATTTATTTACTTGAATTTTTAATTGGTTCCTTTGTCTTTAACTTATATTTATCTTTTTCTTTTTGTTAGTACTAAAGAGAAATCTGGTCTACAGAGATTCAAAAGTCATAGACGACATATGTTCACCAATTAAACTGGCAGCCATTGATCGCTTTGATCTTCTGTCTATAACTCACACAGAGTCCGTATATGTACGTGCGTAGCCGCATGGTGTTATGGTGTCATTTCTGTGTTTGTTTGAGATTTTCATGATTTATTTACAACAGACTCAGTGGCTGTCTCACTCTCCTAATCTAAAAGATAACGTACAGTTTATTGTGAGAAAAAAGCTTCTAGCTCTGAAAGTAAAGGTCAGGTATTTTCAATTGTCTTCAACAATTTCAAAAACAACTCCAATAAAAAAAAAAAGTAACTCACATATCCTTTAAACCTTCATACATGTCCACTTAAAAAAAGAACCCACCTTGCTCTGTAGTGGAGGCAGGGCTGCACAGCAGAGACAGAGTGATGAAAACATTCAGGGATTTCTGAGAAAACTTCATCACTGATATGGGAAAAAAAGTGAGTTATGACCCTGTATTATTCAGACAAGAGGGACGGTGGTGCATAAACCAAAGCAAAATGTGTACAGTATTTTATGTAAATAAAATCTTCAGTTATTTAAAAACATATTGCCATTCCGTTGAAATATTTGTTTCAAAGTTACAGACTTTGATGTTTTTTCACCAAAACAAATCCTGATTTGAAGGTCAAGTTTTTAAAACCAAGGTTAAAGCCATAAAAGAATTGACATATTACTTACCTTCATAGATATAACTAACAAAGGAGAAATATGATGTAAATGTTCCAGAGTCAGGATCACGGCGATGTAGAGAACTTCAAAGTGCCTTGTTGCTTCCTACCATCGAGCTCTCAGACGGATCATGAGATGAACCAGTGAGCTGCTCCTCAGACGTGAGACCAATGTTTTCACGCTGTGATTGGTCCTCTGGTGTTTTTATGTGTCTACACAGGTGAGACAGAGAGAGTGCTGTCGATGTAGGATATCCCATCACCAGTCAATCTATCACAGTTATGTACAAGAATTATAGACACAAAACAACATAAGCTTAAAGGTTATTTGATTTGACGAACATTGATCGCTTTCTGTTAAACGCTACCTGCACACATAAAACTAAATCACTCTATGTTCACTGCAGCTCACTGACCTTTAACCCCTGGTTACCATCTGTATGATTATATGTATTAGAGCTATCTGTTTTCTAGAAAGTTGCAAAATAGAAATGTTTTAATCTTACCAAGATTTATAGTGTGGCCATATGTTTTGAAAAGTCTGAACTTCCTTTTTTTTAGGTAAATATATTGTAAACAGGCAACACACACGTTTTTCTCACTGGAAAAAAATCACATAATCCCTTTATATTCCTCAAAATATATTTTTTAAATGTTATATGAATAGAAAAGAAAAATCTTGTTTAAACAGTCCCCCAAAAAATGTTACATCAAGTTATCATCATAGTTTTGTAGAAGGTTTTATTGTAAAAGACATCAGGCAGTACAGTTTGAATATATTACGTGCATGTGTCAGAGCGAAACAGTTTAGAAAAGTGCTTTGAAGTAAATGTATTCAAAACCATAGACTATAAAAAAAAAAGATACAGATACACAGTCAATGCTCATTTTTACATTTTGTTAGTAATTAATCAACTTTTTAATCATAGGACAACATCAACTTAAAAAAAAGCAAGTAGACATTAAAGCCACATAAGAAATAATTATTTTTTTAAAGGAAGTAAAATATACAATTAAAACAATCAAATTTGAATCTCTTTTATTTCAGATTTAACATCACCTCACTTCTACTTGCATTCAATTGTTTCTCTATTAATGCGTGTATGAGCTGCTCATTTATTTTAGCGCTTTAGCATTTTAATGCTGTTCATTTGCTTTGTTAGTCATGGCGATCAGTCTGTATATTATATGTAAGCACGCAGCAGCACATCAATAATCAACACGTTTTGGTCCCAACAGTTTTAATCCTTCTGAGGATCATTTTACAAAAAGAAATCAACACATAGAAAAACATTTTTGAAATGGAGACTTGGCCTTTATGCAGAAAAGAAAAGATGGAACAATGACGAAAGGTTGTTGACCACTTTCTTGATGTCTACTTGTTTCCACAGTCGGAGCAGAGGATGTCACTTCCATTGGCTACAAAACGCTTGTTGGCCAGACTGAGGGAGCATTTCTTGCAGTTGAAGCAGTATTCATGCCATGAGTTGCCCTCGTAGTTCACAACGTTCACTCCTTTACCAAAACCTGACAGGAGAAAAGAAGGAAGGGAGGGTTTGACTTTTTTTTAACCCCACAGCAGGAAATGTAAGTACACTCTCTACACTCTAAATCTTCAAAACAGTTTCTGTGGCTCTGTATGTCCAGGTGTTTCTTCCCTTTCATTTGCTACATGTTTCAGTAATGGAATTATCATGCGACTATAGTACATCCTATTAATCAGATTTCTGCACTCAAGTGGTAACCAGTTAACGGCAAATATCTAGTTTGTGTTAGCAGCCATGATATTTTGCTTTTGGTTGTTTGAAAGCTTTCAGTTTACCTAGTTTTTAAGAAATTACATTTTCCCAGGTTACGCTTTTCTTGGGACATCTGAAAGTGTTTTCTTGGTGGTCATGTCGACTTTTTTACACGTTGACAATAGTTTTTATCTATGTCATGCTCCAGTATTTGAATTCTGTTGATGTACCATTTAAATATATATTTTTTTTTTTTACAAGAGCCCCAGTTTATCCAAACAGTGCCTGAAATCCAAAACAATAGTAGAAGCCTCGGGTCAGAATCAGATTTAAGGTAATGAAACCCAGCTTGATCCTGTGTAGTCGCTGTATAGTATCTCTTGGCAACTTTCAACTAACATGTCATAAACATTAAAAGCACTCTGGATTCTTCCATTTATCCCAAATGATGTGACATTACAATAACTCCAGTCTCTAGGAACCAGAATCAGAGGTTCCAGATGTGATTTATTTTCCATGAATCAGTCTTAAAAAGCTGCCATCGCTCATGTCGTGTTCTTTAGTGATGATGATTTCTTGGTTATCTAGCCCTTTCATGTTTTGTTCCTCTTTTTTATAGCAGCAGTCTGCTATAAAGACCTAACTGACCGATCAGAATCAATTATTTTGTAAAGGTAATAATACCTGATTACAGATGTGCCAATTGAAAGATTGACCACACTAAACATAACTGAGGGCTGTAGGCTAAAACACACATTTCAGCTGGCTGGCCAGCAGCTTGCCTGAATAGATAAAGCTACATGTACTTCAGTGAGTGGATGCTTTTCCTTTTATTTTTGAATGTAGTATAAATTCCTTCGCGCACAAAAAATATATTTTAATACCATGATTAAAAAAACAACTCGTGTGCTTGTTTGTTTATCCACTGTTTGTCTTAATCGTATTGTATGACACTTTCATCACTACCTGTGATGGGGTTTTGGCAGCTGCTGCATTTCTTAGCCACAGAGCTTTTGTAGCAGGCGACACAGAAGACCTGGTCCTGGTGGTTGGTGAAACTTGTCCCAGCAAGAGGCTTTGAGCAGGAGCTGCACACAAAACAGTGTCCGTGCCAAGGCTGGTCCTGATAATTCACCCCTCCAGAGATTATCGCCTGGAAACAGATGCAAGAGAAGAGCTAAGTGTATGAACACAAGGGTGAACAGATTCTTTGGGTAAAGTTATATTAGCGTTTAAATGTGTTTTAAACGCATTCAGTGGATCTTAAGAGGATCATTGAAGTTTATTTGTTTCGGTCCTCTTAAAGTTTAGTCTCTTATTAACTACAATCATCAGTAATGCATGGGCTGTCTGAAAGGTTGAATATATTTCACTACGTTATGTCTTTCGGGTTGTTCATGTTCAGCTGTTATTAGGAGAAATAAGAAAATTGGGTCTTCTCAGTGTTTCAATAAAAAAAATACCTTTTTGCAGCTGATGCAGTGTTTGGCAAACTTTCTGTCATAGCATGGGCTGCAGTAAGTGTCCGTTCCTTTAGAGAGGAAACTCTGCGATCCAATTGGTCGTTTACAGTTGCAACAGGTGAAACACTCGTCGTGCCATGAGTTCCCTTTGTACTCCACGCTCTCTTTGCCTGCAGGAGATCAGATCAGAGATACGAAGTCAGAGAGAGGAAACAGTTTATGTTTGAGTTAACATCCACACTGAATTCAACTTGAGATCTCTCTGAAGTCATTTTAACAAATGCACTCCTGAAAACATCTAGATCATTTCAGGAGGACTGCCCCTGAAATCCTCCTGATCTAGTTGTTTACCCCACAGTGGGAGACTGTCCCTGTCAGACGGCAGGATGGGTGGAGGGCTTTACAGAATCACAATATCAGCAAAATAGGGAAGAAGAACATTCTGGGGAACAGAAAATGTAAATGTCAGCGTGTTCTAAAGTTTAGCCTCAAATGTAGAGAATAAACTCCACCTGCCCCTTCCACTCACTCTCGGTGAATTCTCCTGATCACGTGTACTGCCTTCTCAAATCTCACACCTCGAAACCTCTTTTCAGGAGTTTTGTTCAGTTGTGAAAGTGCTATAAAATAATTTATTGTTATAGTTATTTGTCTTTGAATCCAGGTTTTTACAGTCTTGGCTGTACATGAGTAGCACAGCTTTCTCTTTTTGGTGTCATTGTTAGTTGAATATTTTGAGTTTAAATCATGAAAAAAAAATCATGAAAGTTCTGATGAACAATCAAAAACTTAGAACATGAAATGATGAGGAGAATTAGATACATACAGTATATAGTGAACATTGGATTCTTCAGAAATGTTTCTATTTTTTCCCATTTTAAACAGTGTGTCTCTGCAAACTGAAAACCAGGGTTTGCAGTTTATCACTTACCTGCAAGTATGGGTTTATAGCAGCCGTGGCAGCGGGGAGCGTCCTCTCTGGAGCAGCACTTTCCACACATGATGCGGTCGTCCTTTGTGCTGAAGGGCTCCTTGGCCAGAGGCTTGTAACACTTGGCACAACGGAAACACTCCTCATGCCAGTACCGACCCTTATGGCTGAGCTCCTTTAAGAAAGAACAGACCATGGATGGAAGACATTAAAGACGCACCACTATGCCCCTGATGATACTGTATGTAAAAGAACAAAAAAGAAATCTCAGTAACACGTACCTTCGACTCAACAGGTATCGGTCGATGGCAATGGCTGCAGGAGTTGGCGCAGAACTTTGTGTGGCAGCTGATGCATACTGGCCGGCCTTCATTGCGGATGAACCTCTTCCCCCCGAGGTCCTCCCGACAGTAGGAACAGTGTGAGCTGTCGGACATTGTCACTCCAGGGACTCAGAAGAACAACTAAGAAAGTAAAAGGGAAAATGATGGTTATTTTGAAGTCAAGAGATTGATTTTAAGCTGCTTATGTATTCCAACGTAACTCTCATGTTTCTTTCACAGTTATATAAAAAGGAAAGCTAGAGTGCCCCACATTTTCAGTGGAGGACACAAGTGTGTCGAGTTAAACCTGATTTATTGATTCACATAACATCTTTTTTTTTTACAACATAGACGATGCATAGAGCGTGCTGTGATATTTCCTGATTCATTTTCTGTGTCAACCTTTAACACTGAACACAAACTGAATGATCTGTTTTATGTAAGAGCACATGATATTCTGTGCTTCGATATGATTTTGATAGATAATTGAAATCATCGATGAAAGTTTGTTTAAAGTTGCAGGGAGCTTTATTTGCTGCTTGGACTGCTGGAGAGAGAAAAGATGAAGAGAGAAAACAGAAGCTGAACATAAGGTTTGTTCATTTAGTCTTTTAAAAGCTCCAAATATCACAGCATCACTACTGAATCAGCTGCTCTCGTCGCATTATATTTACATTATATTTGCGATAACGTTCTGAAAACGTTTGGGGATAACTTTATGAAACACCAGACTCTAGAATCGCCACTGAAGGAATGTGCTAATGAAATACTCTTTTGTATACAGCAGCAGAATCCAGGTGCAGACTCAAGTGTTTTTGTGTTTGCACAGAAGTGGGAGAGCTTCATGTGTTTCTTAGTTTCTCCTCTGTGCCTGATAAAGTCACTGGGGGAACAAGTTACAACTGATAACGTAGACAATAAAGTTTGACAACTGGTATCAGATGGAGACAAATGACCAACAACATCAGCTTGATTATTGTATTTCTCATAAGCACATCTGTCAAAGTCAAGCTGACGACTTATTTACGGAACTGGGAGTCTTTATCCTCAATGTTGTATGAGGGCAGGAAACAAAATCCTGGTTTAATTTTTAACTGATCAGGAACTTAATTTTATAACCTTGTTTATTGTCTCGCACTTTTCCCAGCCTTTGTCCAGATGTTCAACCCAGTCAAATAATCCCTGAAAGACCAGCAGCAGATTTTAAAGCGTCACAAACATTAAGAATGTAAAGTCAAGGTGTAGTGTAATCAGCTTTTGTTAGTGACAGTTTGGTGGTGTCTGCAGGATTTGATAACACCACGGCTGAGGAAGGATAGAAGATTAAATACAATACAGTTCACAAAGACCCTCTTAAAATATAATATACAGCTATAATATACGATACTACTATACATCTATACACCACTGCTTCTGTTTGTTGTTAAACTCAGGTTAGTTGTGTTACAAAAACAGGATCTACGCAAACACGCTGAACGGCAGGATATATGAGTAAGTTAACGTAAACTGCACCCCTCAGTGTATATTTTATCACCAATGTACAGATGTGGATTTTTCTCATATTTCACAGGTCACTGAGTCAATGACCACATTTGATTTTCCTGCAGTTTGTTCATGAAGTTCTAAATCCAACTTAAGCTTCTTTGTGCAACTCAGTCTTCGCCTCTTAGAATCACTCTCCCTAAAAGAAGACACATAAAGTTCCCAAACATAGAACCCAAATCACCACGTTGATCTTCAGAACTCACTCACACAGCTGTGATTACAGGGTCGCCAAATGATACACAACAGGATCACAGCAACACGAACACACAGAAATGTCGAGGAAAAGATGGTTTAAATCTGTTTGCCCCGTTATTTCCCACATCGGGTTCACACTGGATGAACGCGAGGAATTCACTTCAACTAAGTGTTTGTGTGTGTGTGTGTGTGTGTGTGTGTGTGTGTGTGTGTGTGTGTGTGTGTGTGTGTGTGTGTGTGTGTGTGTGTGTGTGTGTGTGTGTGTGTGTGTGTGTGTGTGTGTGTGTGTGTGTGTGTGTGTGTGTGTGTGTGTGTGTGTGTGTGTGTGTGTGTGTGACTGCACAGCGAGGTGAACGTATGAAGGAATGCCTGGTATGACTAATGTGGTTAGATCTGGAATGTTGACAGCATTTTGACAGAACCTCCACACACACACACACACACACACACACTCACTCCACCTCTCACATGGACCACTCCCCAGGATACCACCAAAACCACAAACTATAGTGCTGGCCTCTTGGCTGGAGTGGCATTTTGGCTCAGATTCATGTGGAAGTTCTGGCTTTGGCTCAGGACCAGCGTTACCACAAGTTCAGGTTGCGTTCACAAACAGTCAAATCCTCCTTTTTCTTGTGAATTTCTTTAAGCTCCCAGAAAAAAAAAAAGGAAGAGAAATACCGAAAGGGCTGGGAATCATTTTGTTTTATAAAGGCTGAAAGAGTTGGGTTTGTTGATGGTTATGCCCATCCTAATAATTTTGGAAGGTAAACAAAAATCCTGATACGTTATCTGAATCTGCCAGAGAAAGGCACAAAATATGACAGCTTTAAAATATGTCCACCAAAACTACCAATCTATCTTATTGATGGTGAAAGTGTCGTTCCAAAAAGTGAATCTGAAATTAAATTGTTAGAATTCCTGAAAGGGAATTATCATTGAAGATCAAGAAAGTCCGGGAACAACTGAATTCCCTTTAATAACATCAAGTTCATCCTCAATTAGTATGCAATTACATAGAAAATATTCAAGATTTCATTGAATTCACATTTTCTATTTATCTGCTGTTCTTCATGATTTACAAAACACCTGTGTTTTAAAAACTGGGATTCATTCACAGCCATACATCCAAGTGAATCAGCATTCAGTTTCAGTGAAATAAATTCCCTTTGTTTTGATGCTGTTAGGATTGAACGGTCCACTCCAGGCTTCAGAGAGGCATCTAACAGCTCTCTGACACAGGAATGTGTCTGAGGTTAAAAGTGATACAGCTAATATGGTTGATTAAATCACTTCTTTTGTATTCTTGTCTCCTCAGCAAAGGGGGTGCAAAACTTCCACTGACAACATGTGGAGTGGGCATTCATCTTCCTTTCAGTGAGCTGCTAATTCTTCACTTACTAATGGAAAAAAACCAGCAGCCGGTTTGTTTGTTGACTGGGTGAGGTTGCCCAACCATCTTGACATGAAGACAGCAAGTCCAGACAGCCATGAAAGGTAAGGTCTGATATTTGCAGGTTATCTCTTAGTTTACTATCTGCCTCTACTCACTCTAATTAGAAGGGTTTTCATGTCTCTTTTCTTCTTTTTTCTATAACTGCACTGGAAGACTACCTGTGTGGGTCTGAGCCTGTAAAAAATGCTTGGCTACAAACATGGTGAAAATGTTATCTGATGGGAGGCAAACAATGGCTGACAGGAAGCCAGTCATTATCCACACAGGTCACAGAAGAATAAATCAGGTTACACTGACGTCACAGGGCTTTGAGGACCGTGTTTCTTCACGTCTTTACTTTGTTTTTCCGCTATAAATGTTCCTGCTGTCTAAGAGGTACGACAGCACCTATCTATCATTCTCTTGTAGCCAGGCTGCCAATGCAAAAACAACATTTATCACCATAGAAACCGTTAAACGGGAAATTAAGCTGTGTCACACAGTCAAATGATGCTGACTTTTAAAGCAGTTTACAGCAGCCAGGGACAACCCTGTGTGTGTACTTGTTTTAATCACATTATGGGGACATAAATATGTACAGGAATTGACATCATTTGGACTCACTAACCTGGGTCCCAAAGGGGAAACTGTTTTTTTTTGGTGAATAAGTCTTTGTGTTTGGCACACATAAGGGTTCGGTAAGAAGGGAGAATTATGAAATACTAATTCCTAATTCATTTATTTTCGCTACACAATTCTTGAGCTTCACTGTTGGTTTCTTCTTCATGCCATTCGTTGTTAGAAAACGTCTTCCGATTTGGAAACCACTGATGATAGTTTCTGATTCCTTCATTTCTGTCTTTTTCTCTTTCCATGTACGTTCAGGCTCACTAATGTAAAATGTTCAGTCACCTGACTGTAACAGTTAGAGCTCTGTGCAGTCTCCCATCCAAAACCCTGTGGTGTAAAACCAAAACTCGAAGGTGACATCATGCAATATGGACGAGAGAAAAGTCACGCACACATGAAAACACATGTGGCATAGAATAAATGACGGGGTAAGCAGACCGAAAATAACTCAGACAGAGAGAGAGAGAGAGAGAGAGCACACGGCCATGACACACACGACTTGATACAAAAAAGTGTCTTATACCCACCATGTGTGTGTTGGCATGATCTTATCGCTAAAGAATGTAGAGGGAAAACTGAGAAACAGGAAGTCTCCATCAGAAGTTGGCACAGTCCAGTCACACACACACACACACACCTACAGTTTTTACTGATGAAGAAATAAGTACAGAGACTAAAACATTTCTGAACCATGCTGTAAATGTGTTTATTTCTGCAGTAAAAATGGGCATTTTATTATGGAACCTTATCTGGGATTCCTTTGCTTTTGGAGACATCCTCACACAAAAAAAAACAAAAAACTGCAGTTGTTTGCACACCTGCTGTGGTTGCCTCTTGGTTGTAAAAATCTGAACTCAGTGTTGAAGTATATGGGAAAAAATTTGATTTTTTATGATTCTCAGCTGTGTTGGGGTAGAATGTCTCCCAAACTTGTGTGCTCCGGTTTAAAGGTCACATACTGGTATTATGCAAAATAGAAAAGACCATCCTTCCTCTCTATCTTTTGCCTGCTCTACTTTTCAGAAAATGTGTGCTCAAACAGGCCGTTTGGAGATTTTCCCTTCATGACATCACAAATTAGTATTATTAAATGTAGATTTTTAAAAAGAATAAATAAGCTGTATTGATTTTGGAACAGATAAAGTAAAGTGCATCTGTCAGTGATAATAATAATTATTTTATTTTTTCGGGAGGATTTGTCAGTGATTTATAATCTTTAATATATTTTCCAAATTAATTATTTTTTTCTTATATATCATAGCAGAAAAAAAATCCCCTGCCAAATGTTTCCAGAGCACGGAGTGACAACAAAAAAATGATCAACAGTCAAAAAGCGTTGAGATGAAAATTAGCATAAAATCAACATGTCAGAAATTACATTTTTGTATGCTTATTTATGAAGCTCTTGTTGAAGTTGCATCATTCAAAGACGTTTTCTGCCTCGTCTTCAGGAAGAACATTTATGATAAAACTAATCTTAGCTGATTGTTTTAGCTACTCGCACAACACTTACATTAAATAATATATTTATTATTTATTTGTACTATTTTTTTTAACCAGGTTCTTTGACTATACAGAAATAAGAGTTCAGTGATGATTCTTTTCATTTCATTTCTGATTTGGTTTTTGCACAAACATCAAGAAAAGTATGAACTAACTAATCCTTTAGCTTTCACCATTTATAAATTGTTTCCATTATTAATATACTAATATGAATTTAAAGAGCATTCCTAGCCCTGATTTCTGTCACACTATCTCAAAATAAATACACATCGGTACTGAAAACAGAGCAGTGAGTCAGGCTATCTGAGCTCCACATCAGCCTACAAAGAGATAGAATTGTTTGATTTGGCTGCGCTGAGCCACATTCCTAAAGGTGGAACAAAGCAGACAGAACCGATCTGAGTCGTGTAGAGTGAGGATGAAGAAACACAGATTGTACCACTACAACAGGACTGACATGATGGTTTTACCAGAAGCCTGAACTGTTCTACAACCTTTACATAACTCGGTCTGTTCAGTTTCTGCCTGCACACTCCGGTTTCTGCACTAATCGCTTTCGCCCTCCTTTTCCTCCCTCTGTCCTCAATTCATAGACTGAGATGTCTTTCAGGGCAGAGCAGCTGAAAAAACTGGAACCCATCAGCAGCAGCTATGTATGACCACTTTCCATTTCCATGAATGTTAGAGTGTGTGTGTGCGCACGTTTCTGCAAATCCCAACTATTGTTTCAGTTTCTTCCCCTAACAATGAAATCATATTTGTTTAGATCATTTAGCATCAGTTTCACTGTTTTACCACAAGACTGAGTGAACACACAGATTGTCACCACATTAAAGGAAACACAATATTATGGTCTGGTGTCAGTAGGAATTTGTCAGGTCACCACCAGGCACCAAAATGATTTCTGTATTCCTAAACCAATGTTACACTTCTGTTTAATTTCCCTCATTAGTGTTTGTTGATGGTGGAGGATAGTGTCATCTTCCACATTGACACCACCTTTCTTTACATGTTTGACCCATGTGTTACTAAATTTAGGTTTAAAGAAGGGATTCAACAGCTTGGGAAACATGCCAGTTTTTTTTTTGTTTTGTATGTTTTTTAGTTAAAGTTCCATTAAAATATCTAACTTAAACAAATGTGAATTAGCTTCAAAATGTTTTGAAGCTACAGCTAACAGAGAGTTTTTCTTAGCTGGGTCTCGACCTCTGAAACTTACTTGTGAACATTTATCATATTTTTTCTGCGGCTGCTGAAAAAAAATGTAAAACAATATTGTTTGTTTTGGGAGCTTACAGGGAAATTGGCAGAGCTGAGCTAGGTGTTTCCTTTTGCTTCTGACGGTAAGGATGAGCTAAACTTATAGTCTCCTAGTTTTTTTATATAAAATGAACAGATATACTGTAAATGGCAAGGAAAATGAACTGTCTCTAAGTCATTTCAGTAGAAAACATCTCAAAGAAAATAATTTTCTTGATAACGTCACTAGAAAGCCAGAAATCATGAGTGTCGCTTATTTATTTTATTTTTTTCATGTAAGTTTAGACATTTTTATCCACATTGTGTTATTACTTTCTCATAAAATAACTGATAATAACTTACGTCCCTCATCCTTATCAAGAACACAAATGATAGTTATCCTGAGCCACCTATTGCACACCGTATTCTATGATGTCATAAGTTACCCTGTGGTAGCCCCAGTTTTAACATTGTTGTAAAACATTTGGAAAAATGGAAGTACACTACTCAACAAGTGTTGTTGTTTAATACGTTAACATTTAATATAATATTCCTGATTTCCTTGAATCAAAGCATATCTGATCTGTATTGTGTGATTGGTTCTTTGTTTTTTGATGTGGGGCAGCTGCTTCCAGCCTCTCACTTATATTCCCCAAGGTTATAGCCACCTATCTTTATATGACAAAGCCTTTTTTTCTGCCAATATCCCAACCTCGGTTTTTGTCTGTGAGTCCGAGCTCATCACAACAGTTTGCAGTGGCTGTAGGTCAAAGAAAACACACTGCCAAGTTTAAAACTTCAACCTGACTGCATGTACTTTCATGTTGTCAGAGCACTAAATCCACAGAACCCCATTCAAATCTCCATTAAAACCCTCCTCTAAAATTATGGGGCTTTCCATTAGGGATTCATGAGAAGAAGAAACATAGCATCTGCAGCCCATTTACATTCTACCCTGTAATAACACAACAGGCAAAACACAACAGGGACTTACCATGACATGAAGCCAGACAAAATGCATAAAGTTTTACGATCCTGTGATGTATTTTATGGCAATGAGCTCATGGTAATTTCTTTAACATGCAGGCAGCTCACAGAGTCGGACTAAAACTCCTTATGGTGCTTTGGTGTGTGTGTGTGTGTGTGTGTGTGTGTGTTTTTGACAGGCTACAAAATGTAAGTCCCACATATGGGTCCTTCTTAGTTTATTTACTGTCTGTGTCTGTGCATTTGCAGTATTTGGCACTGTAAGAAAAAGATCTCCATATGACTGTAACAATAAGCAAAAGTTGTTAGGATTAAGATGGCATGTAAGTTGAATAATTGCTCTTCATCCATTCTATTTCTGCCACGTGATCTGATCTATGTGTAAAACAAGGAAGAGCTCAATCAAACACATAGATCTCACTTCACAACCACAACAGTACAACACAAAGACAGACGAATTGCATGCATTTGAACACACACGGGCTATAAAAAGAACAATGAAACGGAACTGCAGGAATTTTAATTGACTTCTGTGATGCATTTTAAGCTCCATCGTGGTTCCATCAGAGAGAGTGAAAAAGCAGACTTTCTAACTGGAAACAGATTTCAGAAGCAGCCTTGGCTTCACAAGTGAGCATGTAACTGTATAGTTCACACACACACACACACACACACACACACACACACACACACACACACACACACACACACACACACACACACACACACACACACACAACCTTCTGACAGAAACAGACAGACAGATAGCCAACGCCCGTACAACTTGTTTCCTGTCCACATATCAAAGTTGCCTACTGCTTTGCAAGTAAGGTGTCTGTGAAATCAGACGTGTGAAAGGGGAATATGTTAGACCTACTGTACAAAAGTTCAAGGGACATTCTGTAGATGTAATCACGCAATAGCTCACTTTTCATTGAAATAAACAAATTCAAACATATTTTTTTATTTTATTTAAAAAGACCAACAAAAAAAAAAAAAAAAAAAAATCCCGGAACGGATTTTGAACACACCTAAATCAGACCTCAAATAACCTGCAATTGCAAAACTTTGAAAACAACCCTCGGTTTGGTTTCAAGACGAGCGAAAGCAGAAGCAGGTTTGTTTCGACAGGAAGAGTCGTGAACTGCAGCTGTCTTACCGGGATTGGGTGATGACTGCGGCGGGGACGAGATGTGCCCCCTTTACTGTGTGGCAGCAGCGGAATTCCGCTTAAACGAGACCCTCACACGTTTGAAGTGGGCTACTGGCTTCCATCTGCGGTGCGTTAAGCCCATAGACTGTATTTATACAGACTCTGGTCAAGTCAGACACAAAGAGCCAGGCTCCCACCAGATATAAGACAGTTCACCTTCAAAATAAAGAAGGAAGTTTGACGTCAGTACCTGAAACCTGAAACGCTTTAAATGTCTGCAAAGTAGGCTACTTTGGGTGTAAAGTTAAAGCAAACTATTCAACAAGTTTTAAGATTATATGTTAATAAGATTTATTTTTTTATTTTTTTAAAAGAAGCCAAGTAGCAGCCTACTATTTTACAACACTTACATCAGACCAAGCAATTGGAATTAAAAGGAGGCATTATGAGTGATTGGCATCGATTACTGTAATTCACTTTATTTTGGTATCACTCAGTCATCTCTAACCCGCCTTCAACTCATACAAAATTCAGCAGCCAGAGTCCTAACACGGTCAAAAAGGAGAGATCGTATCACCCCAGTCCTTGCCTCCTTACACTGGCTGCCAGTCAAGCTCAGGATTGATTTTAAAATACTTCTGACTGTGTTTAAGGCATTAAATGGACTTGCCCCCCCGCCTACCTCTCAGAACTCCTATCCCCATATAAACCGGTGAGAGATCTTAGGTCATCTGCACAAAACCTTCTGTCACTGCCTGGATCCAGGACAAGGTGCAATGGGGATCTGGCCTTTTCTATTGCAGGACCAAAACTATGGAACTCTTTGCCCCTAGACATCCGTCTCTCCCCCACTATTGGTGTTTTTAAAATTCACCTGAAAAAATATTTTTACTCAATTGCTTTTAATGTTCAGTAACCCGTTTTTTTTTGTTTTTTGTTTTTTAATTGTTGTTATTCTTGTCTGTTACTTTTTAATGCTTTGTTTCTGCAATGTTCAGCACTTTGGATCAATCAATGTTGTGTTTAAAGTGCTATATAAATAAAGTTGATTTGATTTGATTTGATGAAAAAAGTCGTCCAAGAACATCACTGGGACTTTTCACGGTCAGCCAGGAGTTCTTTACGTTACAGTATTGTAGATTAAAACCACTAAGCAGCTGCTCTGGACACAAACAACAGCAAGAGTGCAGGAGAATGTTTGGGTTGCTTGGCAACAGTCCAGTTCTGTTAAATTATGGAAATAATTGGGTTGGTGTGACAAAAAAACAGTCTGATATCGAGTTTCGCCTCTTCATATGAAATGCCGCTTATATAACAGTTACACAGTTTATAAAAGCAATCACACCTCCATGTAGTTGACTGATTAGCAGCACTGCTGTGATTGTTCACAGCACGTGCAGCCTCTGCCACAGAATCACAGCAGGTGCTCATATTCAATATCACTGGCTGTTACCATCACATAGTTGTGGTAAAAAAAAAATACCCACCAATTTGTTTTAAAAATTATTACAAAAAATAAATGAGTGTTATTCATTTCTCAAAGTTTAAAGCATTGCAGCTATCCCAATCACTTGACCTGTCTTTGGAAAAAAAAAGGAGCAAAAGACAATTGAACAAAGTAGGAAGTTGTGAATAATTGAATACATGGAAAGTAAAATAATGTTCCTTGGTTTTAAAAACTCATATTGAACAAAATGTTACTATATCAAGAAGACAGCAAAGACATGTGATTGCTAAGGAATTGTTTTAATTTTTTTCTAGTACACTGCAAGAGCTTTGACAGAGGAGACAGCATTAATAACATTCGAACTTTACAGGGAAAAATCTATTGAAGCTGAGATACTTTCCTTCTCACCTTTAATTCTCACATTTAAAAAAAAAAACAGTCACATATAGACCCATAAACAGCTTCTACAAACTGTAGAAACAAACTCGTACAAACATGTCCAGCTGTCTTAATCCAGTTTATCACAGAGTTGATATTGTACTTTCTTCAGGATTCCTGTATAAAAATGTGTTTACTGTTAAGGTACGTTTACACAACAAAAGAAAATCAAAGGGTACCTTTATGAAGAAAAAAAATGAAAGCAAGTTTGTTTAAGTCCATCCTTCACATAGTACTGCTTTACATCAAATCAAAAAGACAACGTATGCAGATCTGCATTATTAAAGCAAAGATGCTTCTGTTTGAAATGTGATTGAAAATAAATACATTTCTACCTCAGTCATAAAAAAAAACAGATCTGCTCAGCAAAATAAAGAAAAAAAGGCAAGGAAAAGAATCAGTCTGTTTAAATAAAATAAAACAATCTCACTGAGGTGGGAGCAGAGTCGAGCTTGGTTGATGAACAAGGAGGAAAATAAGACTGAATGTTGCATCAGTAAACTGTGTCCTCTTGTTGCAGTATCTTTCCCTTGTTTACACTAGCAAATAAAAGTCTTAAAAAAGGTAGCCATGTCTTGTTGCATCCAAATTCAGCCCCGAATTGTTTATTTTGAAAATACCTCAACTACTTTTGATAAAATATACATTTTCCAAGTACAATGTTCACAGAGTGATTATATCTGACATATAGAAGCAGTACTTTTGACTTTCTGTCAATGAAAGTACAATGTTTTAGTTTGCAGTTTTTGGGGGATTTTGAATAAAATAAACAAAGAGTTTCTCTTCAGGCAAAGTCCCCTTAATGTCCAATTACACTAAAGTACAGTATATAACAGCAGTCAAAGAGTTAAGTGTTGTATAAAAATCAAGAGATCGTCATACTGCACATTAGCAAACCAAAATATGTACAAATCTACACTTAGTAATTCAACATCAGAATAGGCACTTTAATTCCAACAGTTCAGCCAGCCCTCGGTCATCTTTGATGATGCAACATCACAAATACACGGCAGTCAGGTTTTTTTTTAATAAAGATTAAACCAGATGAGAAACCCAGAATGAAACCTTAGCCCTAATAACAATGTTGCATTCCAACATCAGACACATGCACACATTTTCAAATACACAGAGGGAAGCTCTGGTTTGAAAACAGAAAGGAGTAAAGGAGTTGCTACAACGCAGAAAGGGAATATTTAAACATGTCCTTTGTTTTAAAAAAAAGACTAACTCCTTGACTATTACATGTACCTTCCCAGGACTGCCCCACTGTAGCTTATTAGGGGGGAAACAAAGTGCAACATGAGCCACAGAGCTGTCCCACATTTTTTTTTTTAACAGGGCAAGGATTCCATTAATTCCATTCAACAAATAATAAATAAATAATAAATAAACAAAATAAACCATAACACAAATTAAAAAAAAATATTTTACAGTGAAAAGACTGATCCAGAAGAGACGAGGAAATGTTTGAACAAAATGAAGATGCTCCTGGATTCTGTTGTGGAAGCATTCTTTTCTGTTTTGTTTTTTTTGGTGTACCTTAAAGTATCTGCCTTTTTTTAAAAACTCCTTTCACAGCTGTCTTCACAATGTCAGTATTCACGTGTGGATGCTCTCACCTTGGTCAGTCACAACAGAAAAACCCTCTCAGAAAACGTGTGGCTGAGTTAGATTAGTTATGTACCTGTACTGTAAAACGCTCTTCAACAACACTGTGTGATTCTAAGAACAGTACCAGAGCAAAGTGAACTTTGAATGTTAGTTTTCTGAAGACCATTTGAAGCTAGATGAATAGCGGCGCTCACATTAGGAGCTCCTTCACTACGGACAGAAGAACTGCATATGAAGTTAAGGGATCAACCCCGACAGCCCTAAAGAGAGACTTAAGGACTGAAAGAGAGTATAGATAACAGCACTGGCATATTTCAACAGTACTTCAAAGTTGTAAGCAAATACTACAACCACATCATTGAGTTTGTGAAACCTTTAAAAAAAAAAATGGTGTGATCAATTGAAAGTACCTACCGTTCATGAAGTGCATTCACATTCAACATTATAGTTAACCAACAAAATGATGAGTTAAATGAAGACCGCCTCAAAAGCTCTGAGGCTGTCCCATCAACAAGGATGCGCTTAGGTACTGGGACAGGTGCTTCTTTTTTCCTGACAGTGCAAGCCTTCTTACAGTCTGTGCCTGCGAGGGTCAGAGCGTGGCGGGGAGGGAGGCGGCGGCAGGGTGACGGTGGTAGGGGGCTCCACCGGGTCATCCATAGGCAGGACGAGACGGGTTCCTCTGATCGCCACTTCGTTTTCGGCCATAGAGAGCTCCTGATCCAGACCCTCGTCGAACGGGTTGCCCCCGCTGCTGGTGGCGTAGGAGTGCTTGTGGTTGGTGGTACGCGACCCGGAGGCGTCCGTGGTGACGGTGACGTCGGCGTACATGGAGCTCACGTTCGCATCGTTCAAGATGAAGTCAGAGTCGTCGTCGTGAAGCTGACCTTCGTTCTGGTGAGTTGAACGGGAAGAGGGATTATGATTCCAGACGTGAACAGAGAAGAGACATTTCTACTTCAAATAAACTCAAGTGGATACGCAGGAGGGTTTTCCATCTCCTTGATTCAACACACAAATGTAGGATCTGATCAGACTCCTAATACAATCTACTAACACCAGAAAAAGTCCATTCTTATCCATCTTTAAAGTAGTGTAACAGTTTTATATGAGAAGGTAGGTAGGTTTGCACTATCAATCACAACAATGATATCTCAAATAATAAAAAAGGACAAGAAACATGACATAAATACACTTTAAAATCAATTGATAAAGATAACATGCGTGTCAAAATAAATAAAAAAGTATAAAGAAAGGGAGTAATAAGTAGTAAATGAGTATTTAAGAAGGTCAATAAGCCACAGACGGGGTCTGAGTGGAGCTATTGTAACTGTTGTGAAGTGTCCTAACCTCATAAGCCTGAGGGCTGGTGAGGCATCGAGCCAATGGTCCACAACAGGCCGGCATAGTGGCAGTGAGAGGGGGGCCGCTGTGGGTCAGGAGAGGCTTTAGGTAGCTGGAGAACAATCTTTGGTCAAAGACTTAACAGTTACTGCAGTTGGACAGTTGGATTTGTGAAGAACAAAATGCATTTATGCCGACTCTGACACAGCCAGGTTTTAGACTAGAACTGTCAAATCTTTGGAAAAGTGTCAATCTCTAGCACAGAAACACTCCTTTGTATATTTCTTACAGTTTGGAAAGAGCACCCTCTGGTGTCATGAGTTGAATCCAGCACCCACTCTTTCCTCAGATCCTCTC